AAAATGATGCTGCTGCATCCAAAAAAAACCAAACTCTGAGGTTCAAGTTCAAACTCTTGCTTGAGTGATTAAATATTATCTCAAAATATATGTAATTATATAGAATCTTCCATTACCTTCTAGTCCAGTGTTATATGCTGACCTTCACAGTAAGTGTGTGTCATGGCACCAAAGAGAGTAATTTCCCCAGACAGTCAGTCAGACAGTTTAAAAATGGTAGTTTTTAGATAAGTAAGATATTTTCTCTGGACCAACTGTCTGTTCTTGCCTTTTGTTTGATAAGCACTACACCAGGCCCCAAACTGTTTTTATTTGCCTTCATTCTGACACTGCTGTTTTTTCTTATGTTTTCTTATTTACTAAACTAGAGAAAAAGATCATTTCAGAGATTGTAGCAGATTTTGCAAAAGTATCTTCATACAAATTGCTAAATTTCATTCTCTCACATGATGAATCACTAGATAAGACGCGCTATCTTAAGCATCACTTGCATCAGTGCGACACTGAGTTTACAGCATTTAGGGAAGCGAAAAAACTTTCAAATAGCCACTCAGTAGTTACTCAATAGTTTCCCTTTCCTGAGGAAATTCTGCAAGAACATAACTTTGCTGATCTCACAGTTAAAAAGTGCAGTTGCAAAATAAAAAAGAGGATATTCACTTAAAGAAAACAGTGTGTGCATCATTATGTGCATTGAGTAAACTATGATGATTCTCCGTGCTTTGACAAAAAATAAAAATCTGCTGACGCCTATGAGGTCCGTTCCCCAATAAGTGATCCCTACAACTTGATACAAGCTGATTGGGTAAGACCTGGAAAGGCTCCAACAGGAGTCGACTAATGTTCACTCAATCCAACATCAGTCTAGGAGAAAAGAATCACAACAAGCTCTCAAAGGCTCTTTCTTTTATATATATATACATACATATTTATCAGCCATAACATTATGACCAGTGACTGGTAAAATGAATAACACTGATTATCTGGTTATCATGGTACCTGTCAGTGGGTGGGATATATTAGGCAGCAAGTGAACATTTTGTCCTCAAAGTTGATGTGTTAGAAGCAGGAAAAATGGACAGCGTGAGGATTTGAGCGACTTTGACAAGGGCCACATTGTGATGGCTAGACGACTGGGTCAGAGTATCTCCAAAACCGCAGCTCTTGTTGGGTGTTCCTGGTCTGCAGTGGTCAGTACCTATCAAAAGTGATCCAGGGAAGGAAAAGCAGTGAACCAGCGACAGGGTCAAAGGCGACTAAGACTCACTGATGTACATGGGGAGTGAAGGCTGGCCCGTGTGGTCCAATCTAACAGATGAGCTACTGTAGCTCAAACTGCTAAAAAAAAAGTTCATGCTGGTTCTGATAGAAAGGAGGCAGAACACACAGTGCATTACACATGTTAAATGCTTCAGATCATTCATTTTCATATAAAGCTTGTCCAAGCAACAGAACTTTTATGAAATATTATTTTATACTTGTGAAAGTAGAGAAATGACAGGAAAAATAAGGGGAGAGAGATGGGGATGTGTTAATGGTTGGCACCCTAACCCCGTGGCCCTGTGGTATTACAGCAGAAGATGCAGTTACAGCCCCACCAAAAGCTCCCAGGTGACTATGAACAACACATTCTGCACCTGTGAAAAATCCCCTGAAACTCCTCATCTCTCCGAGCCCTTAAACAAAAGACTCATCTCATTCAGTTCATCCATTTCACTCTCTTCATCCATCTCTTTTTCTCACTTCTTCCATGTCTGGGTACAGCACAGCCCTCTGTTCATCACTGGGTAGTCAGTGCCAGAGCCACTGCTCATTACAGCCCCACATCTGCACTCAATAACAGGCCACACTCTGCATGAATAACGGCAGTGTTGCAGACATGAGCGAAATGTCAGTGGAAGGCTTCATTACTGGTGGGCAGAGAAGTGTGTGTGTGTGTGTGTGTTTGTGTGTCTGGTAGGCCTCTCTTCAGGTCCTCGTCGCTCTAGTGCAAAGGCTGGGGGTAACCTAGCTTAACCTATGACCCTGCTCTTCCCCCTGTGTGACCCTGCCCCTTGCCCCCGCCTGAACCCCTTTTACCCCCTCTGCCCCCTCGGCTTCTGGCAGAGATGGATGAGAAGGAGGCAGACAAGAGATCACACGCATTCTGCACCCCACCTCAATGAAAACAAAGCGTGCGGCATTTAAGGAAGACTGGAAGACCGAAGCTTTAATCTGACAGGCTGACAGGCCACAGTGGCCTCAGACGGACCTGGGGAACAGCTGAGGAACACAGCGGTACCACACACAGAGGGGAAAGAGGAAGGTGGGGGGTGAGTGAGCTCAGATAGAGATGTTTTCCTGCATTCCTCCTGTTGTCCAAGTGAGCTGTAAATATTTGTCAACGGCCCGCAACATGCTTTACCTTTCCCTACTGTTTCTGCTGAATGGGCCACATATCAGAGATGCCTGTCTAAGCGTCATGACCTGTAGTGTCTCAGGTGGCAGCCCGAGAGCCTTTATTGCAGTGTTTGGTTTCCCCAAAAAACACCTCCGGCTGCTTGTTTGCCCTTCAAGTAAAGAAGTAAAACATGGCCTTTCACTTTTACAACATAAAATTGTGGGAATAATGGAATGGAGGCGGAGGAGGATGTGGAGTGGTGACCCGCCTGTCAGGACGTCTAAACAAAGAGGGAGTGGAGGGTCAATCAGACAGACGAGACCTGATAAGCCTGGTCCAGGCCTCCGTTAGCCACTGTTTACTCTGCAGACATACCACTGACCCACAGTCACTTCCTTTCAAGTTGGTCTCATGGATGGAGAGGGATGAAAGGGAGAAGGGGCGTAAAAGGAAAGGATGGTGTTAGGCACAGGTTGCACTGAGAAAACTGGGACTCATAAATACAATGAAGCAGGGAAAGTATTGCGTTTCTAGACAGTGCATTGACTTAAACTGCTCTGGGTGTTGATAGGGTCATAAGCTGAAGAAAGAATGAGATTTCACATACTGAACATTAGAAGAAAAAAAGGAGATGGAGAGAGAAGTACAAAAAAGGAAACAAAACGAGAGTCGAATCCAGCAGCAGCTGAGCGTCGGTTTCACTAGCGGGATCTGGAAAGGTGATGTAATTTAGAGAGAATGGTTGCGGTTGCCTGTACAGAGAGAGGTTTACTGGCCCCAGGCTGGCCGTCTAGAGGGCACACACATCTCCTTGCAGACACTGGGAAACACAGGGCCATAAAACCGAACGAGCTCATGTGTGGAGCACCTCATAAATTAGGCCAAATAGCTATGAAATAATACCCCAAAACATCCGTATAAGAGAGAAATCTGTAAACATTTTTTATGTCACTTCGAGTAAGAACCTGGCAGCCTCTTGACTTTATCAGCTTTCTTGATGATTATTTTAGGGGGAGGGTCCCAAGAAAACTATTCGGTCTTTCCTCTCCTCTACTCTCCCGTGCTTTAGATCATGACTCCAATGTGTCTCCTCATTCTGTTTTAACAATTACCGCCACACACAAAAACCAGCAAACATTTATCACTAAAGAAGGTATTTTCCAATATATATTTTCTTCTCTCATCATGGGGTGGGGTGGGGATGGGGGCGCTGAGGCTCCTCTCATCCCTGATAACATATTATCTATTGGCTTAAGACGTTGACAGGAAACAAATTCCCAGAGATGACAAAAGCCTGGAATGCGATACAAGGAGGTTGTCTCCCACACTCCCTCAGAGAAACATCCCCCAAAGCTACCCCCCCAAACTCCCCCATCCCCTTCACTCTGAAGGATGTTTTTGTTGGGTAATTGATGCAAAGGTGCTATTGATAAGAAAGAATGAAACATCAAACCATCTCACAGAGAAGTAGACAGGTTGGGAGGGGGGGTTCAGCAGTTGAATCAAACGTCTTGAGAACACCACCAAAGGGAGGATTAATCAGTCTTTCTTCCCCATTTCTGTTCTCACGTTTTCTGTTTTCCTTTCTTCTAACCCCTCCCCCATTCAGTGTGGTTTTCCTCCCTCAATGTGTGTGTGCATCCACAATTGTGTGCGTGGATGCGTGTGAGTCTGTGCACTCATAAAATTTCTGAAAATGAGAGCACAAAGTCTGAAATGACGTGTTACCGACGGTGTATTTCTCTACCACAAATTAGATTATGTGACATCTTGTGTTCATCACATTAATGGTTACCTAATGGTTAAGGTTAATGTGAGGTTTAGGCAGGCAAAGGTTTGGTTAAGGTTAAGAAACTAAAACTGTTCTGTGTATAGTTTAGGTTTATGGTTGTGGTTAGGGTTTTAAAGCCTTTGGTCATGGTTAAATAAGAAAAACTTACCACAACAACATTTTTTGTGTCTACCTTGTGTCTGTTTCTAGTCATGCCTCTATTATGTCATCTTTTCATGCATTCTCTCACTTTTGTGCTCATATAATAAAATGTTTTTATGTTTATATGTGTGGTTTGCTGGTGTGTGTTAATAAATGAGACAAAGAAAGGGGGCCGATCACTTATATAAGAGGTTCAAAACACCCAAAATCTTAAAACCGTTCCACCTGGACTTTTGAAGGCCCATGCTGGACAGACTTTGGCCTCTTTGTAGCAGACTGATGTCATAGGTCGAATTCCTGTGCAGAAGTAGGCCAGGGCCCTGTACGATAGCAGATTGCTGACTAATCATAGAAAACCAGCCAGGGAGGAGACAATGCTCAAGCTCAAAGGAGCTTTGTATTGACAGCAACTCACCGAGTGCCTCAATGCCACTGGGGCCTCAGCAACGGACGGTCCCTGTCCAGAGAGGCTGATGCTCTTCGAAGCAGTCTACAAGTGGCTTTATCAACTAATGTGTTTGATGTAAAGGGAGTGTTTGTGTGTGTTTTTGCTACTCCTGCTGGAGCATGCAGTTTCTTATCTGGCCCTTGTATCTAAGAATCTGTTGGCCGACTAAAGTCCAAGGTAGGCGCAGAGTGAAGCCAGTATAGATTCTGTTTATTGTTCCGCTACTGAGCAGATCTCTCATTGTGGCCTCTTAGAGAGTGGAGATGCCTTTCCATTGTGAGAGGGGGAGAAGAGAAAAACAACAACAACAAAAGGAAGGGGGTAGGGGACTGTCTGCTTATTGTGTGTGCATTGTGTGCGAGTGCATGTGTGTATGTGTGTGTTGCAGACATGTTGTGTTGCTGAAGTCGCCCAGAGGGGGATTTGGGCTCGCCTGCTCTTAGGGCTGGGCATGTTCCTCGAATGCCGACCCTGGAATTCCATGGCCCGGGGTCAGGACTTTTATTTACAATCCCACCTTACACTATTCCCCAAAACACATACACACACATATCACTGCTCATCTGCTGGCCAGGAGAGGGAAATAGCTTCTGTAGCTGAAGTATTTACTCATAAGCTAAGGCTGGTTAAAAATAATTTGCTGCCAGCAACAACTTAAAGCAGCGCAAGTTCTTTCATGCAAATGATGGTGTCAAGGGTCAGTTCGCACACAAAAATGTAAGAAATGTGGATTTTTCAGAATCTATAGCATGCCTAAGGGCTAAAAAGCCTCAGTGATGTCTGCTGCAAACTTCAGACTGAGGCTTGCAATTAACTCTAAAAGCAGTAAATTCTGCCGTGTTTGCACAGGCAAAACATGAGGGTTATGACCTAAAGGAAGCTATGTAGCATATGTAGCTTTGGCTGCAGGCTGGCCCACTGAACTTGTCAAATTTCCCCAACTGCAACTGGTCAATAATTTGATGCAAATGGTTGAAGATGCATTAAACTCCTCACAGTTATACTACGTTTAGTATAACATCATCCTGTATATTTACTTAGGCTATTTTACATATAGATAAATATAAAAGACATAATATTTACTTATATTATTAACTTGTGCACGGCACCGATGGCATTAAACTAACTAACTAACCCAATGCACCAAGACAAATTCCTCGTAGGTGTAAAAACCTACTTGGCAATAAATCTAATTCTGATTCTGATAAACAAACAGACCTCAATTTGTGTGAGTGAATTGGCCTAAGATGTCGAACAATTCCAAATTTGTCAGTCCTAAATATAGAGCAAAGCACTGTTATGGGAATTGTCGTGCTCATGTCCTTAGCTGTCCAAAATATAATGAGGTATATACATAATTAAGTATACCCTAGTGTGACTGTAACTGTAATGATATAGTGTAAGGACAAAGCCTGGAGAAGAAGCATTAGGCTTCTCTGTGTCTCTGTGTGTCTGTATGAGACACCTCCTCTTTGTAAAAGTGTCCAATTTATATATCTGCATGACAGATAGTTAGAAGAGACTTCCAGACTGGAGACCAGGTTAGGGTTAGGTGTTGTTGCTAAACATGCACCTGTTGATAACAAAGAGTAATATTTGAGTAACCTATAAACTGCACCATAAGAAATTTCTCTTCAGTCTCATGTGCGTCTTCCTCAGACTTACATCTTGCTTACAAGCAATACATAATCCACTGGAATAAGAGAAAAGGACATATATTGTGTCTGAGAATTCAAAGATTCAGTTTGTAACATTTAGGAGGGTCAACTAACAAAAATGGAATATAATATTCATAGGTATGTGTTCATTAGGGTATAATCACCTAAAAATAAGAATTGTTATGTTTTCGTTACCTTAGAACAATGCCACTTAATCCTACACACAAGATCTTTAATTGCTCTTCATATTAGTAAAACTGGACGTCACAGATTTTCTGTTTGACAAATTGGGGGCTCGTCCATGATGCTTAACCAAAGTATTTCTCACAGGTCAATGTCCCAGAGCCCAACTTCTCCCTGAAGAATACTGTAATTGACATAAGAGAGAAGGGGGCGCCTGTTTGAGAAAAGAGTTGGAGATTCCTCAGTGCAGCATCCCAAGGGGAAAAAGAACTAGGTTTATCTATATGAAAGTTAAAAGCTAAAGGGCTGACAAGCTTATTAAAGATGTTTGACACATTATTCAAGTTAGACTAAGACCAAGTTTGTCTAGGTGCTGCACGCAGGATAAAAATAAAGTAGACTTCCGTGACTGAATCGCATTAAAAGTAATTACTTGCTGTATGTTTTAGTCATGATGTTTGTTGGATTCTGGGATCAGGAAATGTTATTTTTATCCTGGGTTTGTGTTTCACTGCCCAGAATGGGAACTTCAAACAGTGAAGGTAAGAAACCCGACATTAAACATTCTCCCACAGTCCCTTGGGCTGTTTCACCTATTCACCTGCTCAGCATGACATATTTCATCATCAGTGTCTTGGTTGTTGTTGTACAATTCCACTGCTGCATCTGGTGCGATATATATCTTCGGTGCATATGCTGTGAATCACTGTCAGATGAGAGGCTGTTGTAAATGTCAGCTATAGGGCGGCCAGCTGTACCGCTGTCTGTGTCGGAAAAAGCTTTTTGGGAACCCGCTGCAGAAGTGAAACTTCCAATAAACTGTGCTGGGGGTCAGCTAGCTCAGCCCAGCCATATGAGGACAGCCAGGGGTACATTGGGAAATGTACAGCCTCATATGGAAAAAAACTTTGACAGTGTCAACATAATGGCTTCCCTAACAAGGACCATACATTTGGGACGACCTAGCTTTGAGGCTGTAAAAAGGGTGTTTACTATATGATCTGGCACACATGAGCAGTGTGTTTTTAAGGGAAGTCAAAGAGTGTGTTTCAGCATATTCTGTATGTGTACATATATGTAACAGGGCTTGCCAAATGTGTCATTGCACATTAGGATCTTATTTATATCCACTTAATCTTGTTGGAAAAATCTCACTCTGTTATGAATTATATTTAATACATTGTTCTGCCACAATGTTTCCCTGCACTCCTGAACTATATAGTGCATATGGATAATATATCTCAATTACCTTAGTAACTCAGAGAAAAACAATAACTTAATGATTACGTGTGAAAGAACAGGTAATAGGATGGGAGGGAAGTGATATACGAGGAGCCTGAAAATAACTTTATGCAAAGCTTTCTGGATCCAAACAGCTGTAAGGTACCTTCTAGAGTTACTTAGGCAGACACAGGCATGCAGCTAATATATATGTATATTGCCTGAATATTGGAAAGAAATAGCCCACACACAGTATATACAATATATGGTCTTCTAGCAACCCACTACACCACAGCGAGGACATTATGAAATGACACTCTGGCTCTCACTCCTCGTCTGAATAACAAATTTTCACCACAAAACATGCAAGACCCAATATTGATGTCCCTCTACAGAGACAGCAGAGAAATGAGAAATATGATCCATTGGTTGATCGAGCCAAACAAATGTAGGGTAATCCGCTACAGTATCAGCATCTGTCTCATGTGTTACTGTCAGTGATGTTATACTGACAATGTTGACCACGAAACCTCAAAAGCTGTGCAGGGAACACTTTCCATACCTCCTACTGTTTCCCAGGAATTTGTGTTTAAGCAAAGCAAACACACTCCGGCACAGACACACACACACACACACACACACACACACACACACACTCACGCTGTAGCCTAATGAACATAGCAGAGCAGCAAGCCATTACACATACCTCATTCATTTCCCCGTACTGTTTTCGCTCATTGCACACGTACAGCTGCAGACACTGACACACACACACACAGCACCCACATGTGCATCCTCTCTGGCACACTATCTATCACACACACACACATAACATCACACATAGTCACAAAATCGCACAGGCCCACTCAAACTTACGCACCGTCCCATTTTTTGTTTGTGACACTGTGTTAGCGGGAAGCCCGGCTGTGAGCTAACCCCACCATGTTTTTCTCGTCTCCTCTGTTATGTTTGGCACCTGTTGTGTGCTCAACATGCACACACACACACACACACACACACACACACACACACACACACACACACACACACACACACACACACACACAAACACACTCATATCTCACACACATTCCCACTACTTCTTTGCCATGTGCTATTAATAAATTGAAGAAATCAAAATTCTTTCCATTCCTGTCTTAAAGAACAACGCCAGAGTTTTTGGGCATAAGTCCTTTATCATTTTTGTGCTGGTCATATTTCACCATACTTATTTTTTTCTTTTTGCTATATTTATAAGCCGCAGTGTCTATAAAGTATGTATTAAATTTGGGGAAAACACTTTTCTCAAATTCTCCCAAAATAATGATGATGCAATGCTGAAATGGAAGTGTCACTTTTTCCTTGATATTTCTTAAGTGAACTGCTTGTAAAAAGGAAGACAAGGGAACAAAAACAAAGTGACCCCTGGGTGTTATGTTATGTTCCTAGTGTTGTTTTCGTGGGTCTTGTGAGGCTCAGTTTCACACGTAGACTGGACATAGTAAATGATAAAAAAGTGTTATTGTGCTCTTTAATCTCCCTGTTTTTCTGCTGTTGTCTCCCTCACCCTTCCCCCACTCTACAAAAACCCTGCACTGATGACACAGCCGAGCTGAGCTGGCAGACACATCATCCCTTATTATCAGACTGCTGGAAAGCCCAGGACCCTCTGGACATCTCCCTGCGGGGGACACAGATGAGTAGGTCATACTTCTGGAATGTGGACTGGGACAGGTGGAGGCGGACGTTTAGGTTAAAAAGGCCCTATGGCGTCATCCCTGTCCCCTCTGCTGCACAGTTTCCTTCAAGACTGTCTGCTGGCAAATCTCCGAAAAGAACTCTGGATCCTGCACTATGTTTTGTTTGGCCGCAGTGATTATTTTCATAGAAAGAACATCTTTATTGATAAAACTTTGTCTGTTGTCCAGGGCTGTTTTGCTCGCGTTTTTGTTTGGTTTGCCAGTCCATGGCGAGAACTCTGTCTCCCTCCTGACTTGTGAAAGATGCATAATTGTAAGAATGATATCTTTGTTTTTGAAGAAAATAATGTTTGTTTTTGGTGAGGCAATTAGTGAAACTGAAAAATGAAAGCAAGAAAATGCCAAAATAAGTTCCCATTTTTAAGGTTTGAAATGATGATTTGTGACATATTTTGAGGATCTTCATTCGCCCTCTTTTCTTTCATTATGTCTTTGTCGGGAAATAGAATATCCAGTCACATAAAATAGTCTGAAAGAATCTGCAAAAGTAATTTAAATATGTGAATCTGAACTCAAGACTTAATAATTCAAGACTATTATAAACTCTATGGTAAATTACCTATTTTAGCCTTATTTGTGTGCTACTATCTGCTTGTGTATCAATTGTGTGTTTTTGTATGGTTTTGTCTGCAACATTTAATGCTGCAAAGTTTGCCAGATCTCCCTTGCAAAAGAGATATCCAACCTCATTGGAATGTAACTGCTTCAATAAAAATTAAGTATGAAAATAGATTAAAGAAATGTACCATTTAGGAAGAAATCCACCCGCACCCTACTCTCCCCCTCTCTGTCTCTCAGTGCGGTTATAATACGGCTGAGCAGCTGTCAGAGCAGTTACAGGTGTTAAAAGAGTCCAGAGCTCATGCATTGGTACATTTTGTCACACAAAGGTGGCTCTCAGCTCTGGGAGCTGAGCAGCTCTCATTGTTTATTAGAGTGGCGGACTGCAGGTGGCCCAACCTATAGGACTAATAACTGACATTATTAATTAACACACAGCACACCGCTACAGGAGGGAGATGTATGAAACTATCAGCAAAACCTTTTATTTTCGAAAGTTTTAAAAATTTGTTTCAGCAAGGAGGTCAAATAAAGATAAACTGTTATTTGCCATGATGGCCTGGCAGTAATTGCTACTAGGCAGTAGTTGATTCACTGAGGACACGTGGGACAAACTGAAGGCTTGTAAGCATCAGTTTGTCTGGAGGAACATCTCCCTGTTCGACCTGGCCTCAGACAGCAAGCTAACTCTCGCTTTAATGATAATAATAAGGCTAACATGGTATAGCCTCTCTCCCTTCGAGCCCACAATTACTAGCCTGGCACACTGCGTACGCACACAGTCTGTCTGGGGAGCAAGCCACTGGATAATTCTTGGTTACCTGTCGCAGCCACTTCTCACAAACACACTTAACATACAAATACCAGAAGGGAAAAAAAGCACACATGCGTTCAGGAACATGCACACACTGCACATATGAATTAGCCAAACATGCAGGGAGCCAAACGTGGATTTGCAGCTAATTTTCCTTCCCAAAAATGTCTAGTTAAGATGAAACCACTGCTGTTACCTCATCTCTAGGGGTCATTCAAAACCCCAGAGGGTGTATGCATTTGGTGAGTTACAGGAAATTACTGATGATGTTCTGTGTTAATTGACAATAAAACAAAGGCAATTTTGGTGTGTTTTTGTAGCTTTGTGTTACTAGCATTATTACTCCCTTGTAATACATAATAGAGACCGCTGACTGTGACTGCTAAAGCCCTGGCTCTCCCACATCCAGTCCTGACTGGGCTTGTAGTTGATTCTTGCTCTCAGGAGGAATAACTGGATATCAAGTTAGCGTTCTTTAGTTAAAAAGCTATGTTGAAGTTTGGTGATTGTTCTAGTTTATAGAAGATTTTTTTATAAAAAATATGGAAAATGCTGTCTGAAAAGTTGACATTGGAGATCATACGGTTTTCACAGGACACTGAGAATCTACGGTTTGATTTTGTATTTGGTTTAATTCTGACATATTTTTCATTGGGTTGCCTGAACACAAGTATGGACACATACTACACACACACACAAGCTCCTCACAGATCACATTGAAGAATCCCTGTCAGTGTCAAAACAGCAACTTATCTAATAATCACGTAAGTTTGAGTACTCCAGTTCCAGCAAAGGGCTGTAAATCCACATTATCTCACTTTTATGGCTCGGTAATAATATGGCAATATCCTCTTTAGCATTATCTGGCTGAACATTAATCAGGCCCATCCTCATTGCACACCATTTATCTGAAACTATCTTTTATGCTTTTCTCCTTATGACAGCCGGTGGAAGTGATTTTTGTACTATTGGATAGAACAGGTGTAAATATTGAACCATGGACTGGCGTCCGGTGAGGTTGCTGGCCGCGTGCCTTTAACCCTCAGTACTTACTAATGCAATGTGTGCAGATCCAGTGAGGACAGGCTGCATACAGAAGCATGAGGCACAATGCACATATCACATGCACATGAGAAACCGTAATCTAAAAGTCTAAAATCCAAGAACTGCACACACATTGCAGTTTGTGATTTCATAGTCTGAATTTCAATCAATATTTGTGACTTTATTGTCCTTTAGTGGATAAAATAAAGAAACTATATAAACTGAAGTAAGAATTAAGATTTATTTTTTCTTTTCAAAGTAATTAAATGTAACTTAGATTTAATGCAACTGCACAATAAGTAAACATTTTCAAAAACATACAAATATCATTGCACTATAATATCATATATCTAATCTATTTGTTTCCGAATTGGTTAAGAGGGTGGAAAGAGTTTCAAGTAAATCATAATAAAACGTTCTTCCTGGTCTTCGTATCTATACTGCTTATCAGCTTTATTTAAGTGGTACAATATAACAGCAGATAAAAGCCCTTCAACAGAAGTTGTTTACATTTGAATGCTGCAGTTTTACCAGCTCATGGTCACAGACGATTCACGTTTTCCTTCCTCTTTGTGATTTTTACTTATTTTATTTGACCTTCACAAAAAACCTTGCTGCACCATTATTCTTTTCCTAGAAAGACCTGGGTGAGAAAGAAGCGACAAACGGTCTGCTCCAAGTTGCCTCTTTTTCAATTATGTGGTGAAGGAGATTAATTCAGCATGGTAATCCTACCTCCCACCACACACACAAACACACAGAGTTTCTCATCCTTGTACGTGCTCGGAGGCATTGAACTCTGTAACACTGGCAAGGATGGTCAAAAGTACGTCTAGCCCTTTTGGATGTCAGCTGGCCTCAAAACATGGTCTTTTGTTTGATCCGTCCCGTAATATAGATCAGAATGATGAATGCTGGCCAGTCATAATATCATCTATTCTTTTCCATCATGTCTTGCATCATTGTGCATATGTTCTCCACTGTGGCACAGTTTACTGGTCTCCCATAGGCAGACCATTAATTGCTTGGCGCCTCTCAAGAAAAAAACAGGAAAAAAGCAAACAAAGAAACAGTTTTGTTAATAGCCTGCTGCTGTTGGCTGCTGATTTGGCCCAAGTAGTAATGCCAATTCTTTTGGAACACACACAAACATCATACTGCCACCGATCATTAGTAGGGGCTCCGTGAACACAAATGTGTGTGTGTGTGGTTGTGTGTGTGTGTGTGTGTGTGTGTGTGTGTGTGTGTGTGTGTGTGTGTGTGTGAGTATAGGTGCGTATCTGTGCCCAAGTGTACATATTTGAATGTGTGTAAATGTGTATGCACGTGTGCTTTCATTTATGTTTGTGTATGCATGACTGTTTGTTTATGTTTGTGTACATGTGAGTATATGTGCGGTTTTTTCACAGAGAACACTCATCACTTGCCAGACTGGTGGCACTTCCATTATATTTAAGGGTACACACACAAACATAGACACACACACACACACACACACACACACACACACACACACACACACATATATATATATATATATATATATATATATATACATAGTCTTTCAGTTGTGGCATTTCTGGACAACTTCCCATCTGCATTACTGAAGCATGAGAATGAAATTGACAGTCTTGGGCTGAAGGATGGCACAGCAGACACAAACAACTGCTGCCAGCTTCCATGGCAAGTCTCAACAGACAATGGTTTGGGGCAGCCAAATGGCACAGTTGCAATGTCCTTCTCAAGCAATTTCCTCACAAATATTTGTACTCCTCTGTCGTGTTTTTGTCTGAATGTGTGTGTGTGTGTGTGTGTGTGTGTGTGTGTGTGTGTGTGTGTGTGTGTGTGTGTGTGTGTGTGTGTGTGGCGTGTGTGTGCGCGTGTGTCTGCATGTGTTGGTGTGTGGGTTACAACAACATCTGAAATGTCTGTCATTCTTAGGAAAACTTGTTTTTGTCACAGTGAAATAACTGGGGAATTGTGTAAATTACCAAAAGATAACTTTACTATGTGCCAGGAAATGTTGCGCGCTATGCCAGTTTCTGAATCCTGCAGGAATCTTTACAACACAGAAAACAGAAGTTGCAGAAAAAACAAGAAGGAAAAAGATCAAGGAGAGGAAGAGAAAAAGAGCAATGGAAGGAAAGAACTCTGTAACCCCTGAGCCCTGGCAAGGGCCAAAGAAATGGAGCTTATCTTGTTTATGTGGGGAAGATAACTAGAATGCTCATCTGGCTGCAGAGAGAGTAACCTCCACCATAGCTGTATGCTGACACCGTTCACTGGAGACTAGAGACTGGAGCCTGTTTATGTGTGTGTGAGCATGACAGCTGGAGTGGACACACACACACGCTGACACTCACTCAACTGTTGCACAAAAGTCCAACTCAACACTTGTCATTCAAAAGCACATAATAACATCCGCAGGGATCTGTGCATGGTTTGTAAAGATGGAAAAACACGCAGAACAGAAGTTAGCGGAGGTGGTTTTCTCCCACGTGGCTGTTTTGTTTTCTTTTAAATCAATCAAGTATAACTTTTTTTTTATCATTTCAGATTTAGCAACAAAAAATAAAAAGATCTTGTGAATAGAATTTTGCCAGCCGAGTTTACTGTCGTCTTTCTAGAGATTTCAGTTTAGCTGATTGCCCGTCCGATGCTGCTTGTCTTGTTTATTTCTACCTGAACAGCAATAATATTGCCAGCCTCTCCAACAGAGAGTCATCCAACAGAGTTATTTGAAGTGACGGATAGGTATGGATCATGGCCTGCCTTGTAATTAAGAGAGATTGCTATTTTCCCCTCAGAATGGGCTCTCCTATCCTGATCTGTAATTATATGTTGTTCAAACATAGAGGGGAGTGTCCCTGGGTATTGTGCAGCCTGCTTTACCACCACAACAAGTGCCAGCATCACTGATTGTCTGTGTTTGGTTCTAAAGTTTCAATTCTTTTTAGTTTTTTACCGACAATTCAATGTGTGTATCCAGCAGATATCTGCCATGGTTCTGAACCCTTCACTGTCTTGCCTCTAATGTGTCATGGCAGTAAGGCAGTGCGTGTATGTGTGGTGTATGTGCGGTGTGTGTAGTGCCAGGTAGAGCCCCGGTGACCTCCACATAGTGACACTGATGTGCAACAATGATGAATGCCCTGATAGAGTGAAGTAAGGACACACCTGGATAATGTTAAAGTTAAAAACTCAGAAACCTTAAACGTTACAAGATGCTGACCTCCTTGTTTAATTAAGTGCAGCGTTCTGCTTTTAAACATTTACTGCCACCCACTCTTCCTGCAACACCTTCAATTAAATTTAGCCTTTAACAAATCCATGAATATTTCAGAAATGTCAAATGTGATGAAGGTCACCTCTGTTGGGAAATGTATATGTAATGTGGGTGGATGTCTTAATTCTAATTTTGGAAGAAAATGTGGATAGTTTTAAATCTTAAAACTGAGTGGCCACAGAGAGTAACATTTGACCCCTATGAGTAAGTATAGCCCAGGCGGTCTCGGCACCACACACAGAGTATATTTCAGTGTAAAGCTGTGACCCCCTTGTTTTCCAGTAAGAGGAAATTGTCATGCAATGACCCAGTGACCACACTGAAAACCACTTCCCCCTTTGTTATGATTTTGAATGGCTTAACCACCTCATTTCCCTTGTTCTGGCCCTCCAGAATACAGTCTACCCCACACGTCTTGTCATATCCACATTGCTCTGCTGTTTCTGCCATCTCTAACCTTTCAATGGTGTATTGACAAAGACACCAAAAGCCTCAAAATTGCAAAACTTTACAAATGTAATATCCAAAGTGCTCCACGTTTAGTGTGAGAGTGGACTGTAGGGATCCTTCTCATGCTTTTGTAGGAGACGATCAGACATAGACCAAAGACAAACACTGACTTTGTGCAGTTGTTGTGCCCAAGTAGTTTATTTTCTCTCATCCTCACACCCCTGTATTTTACACATTATAAATAGAAATAAATAACTGTAAATAGAATTCAAGAATTATGATCGTGACAGCCATGCAGACAACATAAATAAACATAGATTTGATCAAAAAGAAAATTCAATTCCCCCGACCCTCTTGTCTTCTCCTCACAAAGTTTTACTTTGCACAAAATCCACTAAAACTTCCACTTCATTGTTAATATGGCAGAACCTACGGTTACATAATTAGGAAAGCCTCCTCACAGCTCCTGGTTGATTAGGAATCAACAATTAGATAGTTTTGTGGGGCACTGAAGAAACACAATCC